GCCTAGTTCCTTCTGTGATACCGGTGAGGGAGAATCCACAACCTCTCTGGGCAATCCGTTACAGTGCTCAGACATCTGCACAAGAATTTCTTCTCATAGGGTTATTCTTCCTCAGATGCAGGACTCTGCATTTGCCTTTCAGACAGTTCTTCTCTGGCCATCTCTCCATCTTGAGGTCCTTCTGAAGGGCTCCACAGCCCTCTGTGGTATTGGCCACTCTTTCATGCCATCAGGGAACTTGCTGATGAGGTATCTTATGTCTTCCATCCAAGTCACCGATGAACAAGTTAAACAATACTGTGCCCAGTACTGGACCTTGGGGGACACCACTAGTGACAGGTATCGAACTAGACCTTCTGCCACCAATTGCAACCCTCTGGGGTCTGCTGTTCACCCAGTTCTCAATCCACCTCAGTGTCCACTCATGCATTCCACACTTCCTGGATTTGCCTGTGAGGATGCTGTGAGAGATTGTGTCAAAAGTCTTGCTGAAGTTTAGGTAGACAATATCCTTTCTCTCCCCACATGCATCCAGGTAGTTGATTCATCACAGAAGTCAATCAGGTTCGTCAAAAGTGATTTACCTTTAGTGAATCCATACTGACTATTCCTGATCACCTTCTGGTCATCCATGTGGATGGAGATGGTCTCCAGAATGAGTTGCTCCCTCACCTTTCCTGGGATGGAGGTGAGGCTGACTAGCTGGTAGTTTCCTGGGCTCTCCTTCTTGCCTTTTTGAAGACCAGGGGGACATTTGCTTTCTTCCAGTCTTCAGGCACCTCTCCTGATCACCAGGACCTTTCAAAGACGATCATGAGCTGCCTTGCTGTGGTGTCCACCAGCTCTCTCCACAGTTGTGGATGCATCCTGTCGGTGCCCATGGACTTGTGGATGTCAGGTCTGCTTAGGTTTTTTCTAACCCAATACTCCTTCACCAGGGGAGAGTCATCTTTACAATACTCCTTTACCCTTCCTGGTCTTCAGACCAGGGTCAGAGATTCCTAAGGTATGGTCTTGTCAGTGAAAACCGATGAAAAGAAGATATTCAGTAACTCTGCCTTCTCTGTTTCCTGTTTTCACTATAACTTCTGCCTTTCTGAGCATTACGACCTCTAAAGCAGACACCTTCACAAGTGATGAATTATTCACAGAACCACTGTATATTCTGAGCTGGAAGGGACCCACAAGGATCATGAAGTCCAACTCTTACATGAATACATACAGATATTGGATGGTCCCACAACCATGGTGTTATTGGCACCATGCTCTAATCATCTGAGCTAATTTCAGGGTCATTGTTTTAGCCTGTGGGAACCTGTTCTGGCAAAGACACTAATTTACTTTCAGTGGTTGCAAGGAATATGCATCTCATGTGCTTTCATTGTGGAGTACTTTCTCTAGGGTGTGGGAATTTATTTTTTTCTTAAGGTGCATGCTAGCTGCATTTTTTCAAGAATACTTCTTACATTGTTTATTTGTGACAGGAGAGTGTTTCTTCCCCTTTAGATGGTATGTGGCCTTTACTTCTGATACAATGGCAGCATGTTCTTTAGGAGATACATGTGCACTTGAGACTAAATAATGCCCAGGCTACTACAAGCAAGGAAGTGTTTTACTAAATTGTAAGAGCAATCTTGATATGACTCTAGTAAATTTGCAAAAGGGTATAGAAGTACAGGAAAGTTATTAGTTATCCTCTAATTTCAATGTTGTTCTGTCAGAAGCTAGTTTAAGCCATTTACAGGACCCATGAGGGACTTGAGATAAGTTGATCTGATAAACAGTTCTAATTTTTTTAACCTTTTGAAGAACTCAGTTCCAGTAATCATCCCTTTTTTTTCCCCTTTCCTTCCTTTGCTGAAGGTCATCACATTCCAGTTTCCTAGATGAAAGGATGTTACCAAAATCATTGCACAACTTCTGTGCAAGAACAGTTGGCAGGGTGGTGTCTGATCTGGCCTTTATACGTGATCTTAAAAATGCAGCTGCATACTGCCAAAAAATCCAGTTACTGGAGAGTTTATGCAGTCCTGACAATTTTTCTAGGCCTACAGTGGAAAAAGCTCTAACCTTCAGGAGATGCTTGGGCTGGGAAGGGATTTAGAGGTCCTGTTTGAGTGTTCAAGCACTGTTTGGGTTGTGAGTGGGATTAGCAATGATACCTACTCACTGCTGTTTCCAGCACTGCTTGGTTTGTGTTTGTCTTTCCACCAGAAAACATGGGGAACTGTACTAGCAGTTAACACCCTGCTACACCTGGGGGTACCAGTGGGGCTGAACCAAGCAAATGTTGGTAGATCCAAACACTGGATATATGCTTGTTGCATACTACAACAAACCCTATTCAATTAGCATGTGGAATCACTCTTCCAAGTGTAGGATTTTATAGTGGAGTAGGAGACTAAACAAGTTGAAGTACAGAGAAGAGTACTTGCACAGAATGCAGGGAGAAAGGCAAGCAGAGGACAAAGAACCTGTGCTCAATTTTTGATTCCTGGTTCTTTGCTTCACCACAGCTACAGCTCTCTTCAGATGGTAATGACATGTGATGGGTAGTGAGCCACTGGGCAGAGATGCCACTGAATATATTTTCAAGTTCTTGGTAATATTATTGTAGCCACAAGTTTTTAAATGAGTAACAATTTCATTAAATTACTCCGTGGCTCTAGGGTGAGGTAAAAGCTGATAGACTTTTGAGACCCACAAACCTAAAGAAAGCGACATCTTCCAGATCTGTCAGTTGCTTTTAAGAGGTGATTACATCACTGCAGAGAACTGAAAGACTGGTTCTTGAGACTTGTTTACATCGCAAAGCAGTCTTCAATCTATAAGGACAAATCTAGAATCATAACCTGGTTTTGTTGGTAGGAGTTTGGGGAAGACTGTGAAGCAGTTGCCAACTACAAATTAAGCTTGCTCTTTAATCTTTAGTCTGGAAGGCTTCCAACAACATGGAAAAGGGTGTGAATGTGTAGAGGGGAAAACCATACAGGTGATGAAATTCCTTCAGCTTCAACACTGTAAACTCCATGTTTTATGGGAACACGGAGGAGAGATGTATGTATGGCAAAGGCTGCATTCCTTGTCCTGGGAGAGGGGCTGATCACAGCAGCTGTGTATGTTACCTTACTACTTGTGAAATCTGATTTGTATTTTGATGCAATTGTACGTCACTGACCTGACATATCAGAAATTGTTGCATTACTGTGTAGGAGATGTGCAGATGCAGCTTTCTCAGAAGATGCCAAAATAGCTTTTTTTCTGTATGTAGTTTGCTGTGGACACTTGTGTATTTATTGATTGCCTCAATATTAGAAATGCAAGTAGTGGCTTTAGGCCCACTATTTTTAGTATCTTGCAGTTAGCTTGGTTCTTTTAATTTTATTGAGTTTGTTTCTTCTTCTAAACTTCATTTTGCAGTCTGGGTTATTTAAAATGACCAAATAATTGGTCTGAAAACATAAGAGAAAGCTGGGTCTGCAGCAGAGGATCTGATGTGAATAAATTAAAAATGTAGTTTTATAAGTTCAAGAAGCCTTTGTGTTTTACTGAAATCTTACTGCTTTTTGTGGAAGAGGAACTAAGCTTCTGGAGAAACTCTGGGAGAGAAAAGATTAAGAAATAATACTGTTAATGGAGAAGAAGACATGTCCTAAGTGGCAGTCAGTGCTATTAAAAATACCAGCTTCTACCTACTAATGATAGGCCAAGTTTTGCAAACTTAACAGGTTTCACCTTTTTTCCTTATGCTATGCCTTTAATGGGGTTTTGCTTTTGATTGCATGGTTGTGGGTGGAATATCTGATACTCTTGGCAACATTATAGTATATAGGTTCTTAAAATTACGTTTCTTCTGGCCTGGAGCAGAGCTGTGTGGGTGTTGGATGTTTCTTTGAGACCTGGCATTCCTGTTAGTTAATCACCTTATGTTATCTACAGCTTTAAAGGAAGACAATGAATGTCTAGCAGCCATCTTCACTGTGTGGCACAGATCTGCAGGCTGTACATTTAATGGTTCAGTTTATCAATCACCTGCCTGGGAAAGGCAGTGTTTGGGTAATCAATTATCCAGAAATATACTTTGTGGACCAGAGACAAGTTAAGTGTTACTTATTATAGTCTCCTCAAAGGCACAGTGCTTAATCTCATAAGCAAATTAGAGTATTAGTTGATCAGAAATATATTATGATCTGCTTAAGTGAGATGATGTGAACCTTCTTCTGGGCAATAGAGGAACATAGCACAGTGTGGTAGGCTAGAATTTAATTAGCTGATAAATAGGTTGTTCTATACATATATCTGAACATTTGAAATATTTAAATTGTACTAGCTGTCTAATATCTACTAATTTTGACAAATATCAAAGAATCCCTACAGAAATGGCTGAATACATGATAAATTGGCTGCTGCCACTTAACTGAACTGAGCTGGATTATCAGAAGTAATCGGTTTAATTTAAACCCAGCTCATTTTAACTGAAAAAGGTTAGGGAGCAGCCACGTGATAGTTCAGCAAAGAGATCTAAAGAGGAAAGTAGTAATTTACAATAATGCAGGCAAGAAGGATAAAACACGGTGAGCAACACCAGCTGATTCAATAGATTTTCCATTAATTATTCATAGTGTAAACAAACTCTTCTTCAAGATGCACTTACTAGTGAGTTCTGAGAAAACTTTGAATCTTGTTTAAAAGTGGGTAACTGCCTTTTTTTTGCCAGGTACCTCTTGATTGAAAGAAAGTCTGATATGGAAAAACTAGGCAGTACTTGGACTTGATAGTTGTGCCTTTCCTGGTCTATTCAGACTAGTCAGAAAATGTATGATTGATCTTGGTTACATGAAGGAGAAGAAAGTACAAATCCCAATTTGCATTTATTTTTAACGCTTCTGTAAGCACAAGCAGGATGTTAATATCTTGTACTTTAGTTTGAGGTCTTGCATTGGAGTTATGCATGTGAGTTATGGCAACTGAGTTCAGTCCCACCTTCAATTCTTTTCTAGGGAGAGCACGTGTGCAGCAGCTAGCAGAGAACACGAGATATTTCAGGAGACGACTGAAAGAGATGGGCTTTATCATCTATGGAAATGAAGATTCCCCTGTTGTGCCTCTGATGCTGTACATGCCAGCAAAAATTGGGTATGTTTGACTGCATAACTTCTTACCCCTCTTCTTTAAAGCTAGGTTGGATAAGAATATGTATGAAGAGCTTTCTAAATATAAGAAAAAATTTGTTTGACTTTTGCTTTTATGATCATTACTGAGTCCTGTAAAATATGGAAACTTCTCTAAGTGTTCTTGAGAAAATTGAGGCTTGTAGCTTGGGAGAGAAAGCACTTCAGGCAAGCAATTTTGCCTCTGGGTGTCACGTTTTAAAGGTTGGGTTGTGTGTTTCCATTATATTTATATGTAAAGTGTATAAATACACTAAAGAGGAGCTGAAATTGAATGGAAATTAAAATTAAAAGTAATTGGGGGAAGTCTTTCAGCTAGCTTCTCAGGATCAGAAGGAGCCAACATTTTCATTTATGAACTTTGAAAATTAGAAAAGGAAAAACAGTGGGGATGGAACATAATGGGACACAACAACATATATTTAATAAATTCCTAGGTTTTAAGAGGTCTAGATATAATCACTCAGGCATTGGTATTGTAAATACTAAAACAACTGTAGCACTTAGGTTTATAAATTCTTGCAGATTTGTGGGGTGCTGTGTGGATAATTAAGGCTAAAATTCTTCAAGGAGGATACATAAAGTGTATATTGAAAAATTTTTCAAAATAAACAAAAACCTGATTTCAAGGACAGCTTAGCTTTGATCACTACTTTTCAGGGTCTGTGTAATGCAGTGCTCCATCAACACTTTCAAATTTGGAAAACATAATTTCATTTTATGCTATCTCTGGTACTTGACTAGCTCAGGCTTCAGTCTGGCACTTTTTATGAAGCTAGATACCCTCATTCTCCACCCTTCTCAGTGTAACAGAGTTTTAAAAGGCCTGTTAGCTTTATGGGTGCTGCAGATTACATGTCCAGCACACAGAGGCAGCTGTTTCCACTGCCCAGCTTCTCTACCAGTCAATAAAATCTTTTCCTTGGAAGTGTTCATGGAAATATTTATTAGCTGAGTAGTTGGGCCAGTATCTTACTTAAAATGAGCAAGAACAGAGAACTCTGATGAGAATTGGCCCTTAGGATCTGCATTGGATTTACTTGATCTTTTCTTTGTCCCTTGTAGCCTGTTTTTAAAATAGTTTGAGAGTAATAAATGGATACAAAATGAAGTGTATCAGGATGCACCCATTTATAAGGAAAACAGTTGTGGCAGAACCTAGTAAAAGAATGTTATTTTATATGTTCTTATAAACCTCTTAAGTTCATTGCTACTTCTCACAACAAGGTCTGTTAAAAAGGATTAACCATTTCCTGTGGCCTGTAGAAACACCCCCAACTGTACTGCCATTACAGATCCGATCGAGATCTTTGTCCCTCTCATTGTATAAATCACAGCCACTACTTTCTTTAGTCTCCTTAAGAATTTGTTTTGTTGAAGATAATGAGTGACAGTTGAATGATATTTTTGCACTTTCCTTAAAAATATTAGGTATCATATTAGATTATCTCAATTTACTGTGGTGATTCACTGGTTCCGTGATACTTATAAAGTGGTGCATTCTGTGATGCAGTAATGTACTTTAATAAAATTAAATTCATGAAAACAAAATATCTTGAAATTGCAGAAACGTCTGCTTTGGGGCATTGCAGCATGAGGGCTTCCTTGTATAGTCAAACTTCTGAGCCAAAATCACTCTTTCCTTTTGGAAAGATTTCCAAGCTTAGGTTACAGATCCATTTAGAAACAGCCTGCTAAAAGACCAGTCTCTGCCACATATAATCTTTCATCTTTGTTAGAACTTAATACACTGGAACCTTTTGAGAAGGACCACCTTGGGATTGAATTTTAAAAAGGCTTTTGTGAGCAGGCCTTTCTGCCTCTAAAAAGAAAGCACTGGAAGCTCCAAACCGTGGTGTGACAGCCTTGCTGCAGCAGAGGCCTGTATGGGTTACCACACTGAGCCCTTCAGCTCCTGCTTTGCCAGCACTGGAATGACTGTGACTGTCTCCTTCTCCCTGGCAGCGCGTTTGGCCGTGAGATGCTGAAGCGGAACATCGGTGTTGTGGTTGTGGGCTTCCCTGCCACCCCCATCATCGAGTCCAGAGCCAGGTTCTGTTTGTCTGCAGCTCATACCAAAGAGATGCTTGATACAGTAAGTGTCTCATCTTGTCTTCCTTCTGCTCGTGCCTGCTAATAAACAGATACAACAATTATCTGGGTTTTGTGCACTGGTTCAGTGTTTGGTACACAGCATGGTTGAACCTAAGCTTCAAAGCCCTTTGCAATAGAGGTGGCAATGACTCCATCTCTTTCCTTGCTTTAACAGTGTGGAATGCCTGTTTAGGGTAAATCTCAGGACTTTTCTTGTCCTATTTTAAAAGACAGTCTCATTCCTGTGAGACAATGCTTTTTACCCTCTTTAAAGGCTATACCTTGCATTGAACTGGTTAGAAGGAAACGTTTTGCATCTTCTGACCCTAGATGTTAATGGTAAGGAAAAAAAAAATAAAAAGGCCTGAGAATCTCCAAAACATTTATATTCCTCTCAAAAGGAAGCACATGATTACTAGTGAGAATTTTTATTCCAGAGATTACTATTCCTGTTCTTGTTTAAGGCTTCAGAGCACTGTATCTTAAATGACCCTGCCCTAGTGAGTCTGTACCACATGCAGTGCCTTACTTACCCTTACTGGCACTTGCAGGGGGAATGGAGGTTCCCTCGAAGGAGGCCAGCATCACAGCTGGGAGATGCTGCCTTCAAAAAGTAAGGATGGTGGTTACTCTCTAACAGATTTGAAAGAGGATTATATGAATAAGTCTCACTGTTCTTAGTATGTCTTGCTGTGGTAGCTACATTCAATTTTGAGTCTTCTGAATAATCTTTTTTCATGGACATGTGTATATAGGCAGTCTTAGGCACTGCCAAAGTTCTGCATTGCACTTTTTTCCCCACTTTTAGGGTCTGTGACTCAGAATATAAACTGAGTCATGAATTTGGACTTCATGAGAGTAGACTCTATCTTGTTCAGAGACCTACTTGAAAGAATCCCATACGATACAGTCTCAAAGAGCAGAGGTGTCCAGGACAGTTAATTGATTTTTCCTCCCCACTCCTTCCCTGAAGAACGATCTATCCTGATTTAAAGGAGAGGAAATGTGGTGGGAAGCCTGCATGGATGAACAAACCAGCAAAAATATATCATGAGAGTGTGTAAGAGATGCAGGCACAGACAGGTGACCAGGGATGGGGTCAGCTCACCTGGAAGTCAGTCTATCAAAGGACATCAAATGCAGCAGGCAGAGCTTTTATGGGGCATTAGTAGCAAGAGAAAGAGTAGAGAAAATGTGGAGGACTGCTGCTGAATGGCACAGGAAAATCAGGTGAGAAATGCATGCAAGAGGCAAGGGTGCTCAGTGCCTTTGTTGTCTCAGTCTCCTGGTGAGACTTAGGAATCCTGAGACCGTGAGATTAGTGGAAAAGTATGGAGCAGTAAAGACTTACCTTTGGTGTGAAGGAGGCTCCAGTAAGGGAACATTTAAACAAAATCAACATGCACCAGTCCATGGGACCTGATGAGCTACATCCACAAGTGTTGAGGGAGTTGGCTGTCACTGCAAAGCCACTCTTGATTATCATCTTTGGAGAAAGAGTTCATGGTGGCTGGGGAAGGCTCCTGAGAATTGGAAGACAGCCAATGTCACCTTCTTCTTGAAGAAGGGCAAAAAAGTGTAAGGAACTGCAGGTTGAAAAGCCTTGCCTTTATCTTGAGAAGATTGTAGAGAAAAAAATCTTGAAACTATTTTTGAACATTTTGTGGACAAGGTGATTGGGAGTAGTCACAGAGTAAGGAAGGGGAAATCATGCCCCATGTCCAAATATGATCAGGTGGTAACACTTCAATATGTGAACAGCAAATAGAATATCTAACAGATATTTACTAATGTCTTATAAGAAAAAGGACTCCACCTTTTCGCACTTGATTGCTACAGAACTTACATACAAATCAACAGCTTAAAATTAAATTTAATTTCTGTTAAAAAAATAGTAAGGTAGTGTGTGGTGTGAGCAGTTTTGTAATCTATGTGTAGTGTCATTGAGTAGTATCACCCTGCCGTGTATCTGCAGTGCTGTACTTGCTGCTCCTGAGTTGTTTCTGCTTGTCAGAGATTCCCTAACACTCCAACAATAGACTGCTTAAGGAATTCCTTCCCAGCTACTTGTCCTGCTACTCTTCCCTTAAATATCTCAATTTAGTTGTTTCTGTTCCAAGTAAAGGTTTGGAACCAGTACTTTCAGAGAAGACCTCTCCTTTGCTTCCTTTTGCCCTGTATAAAATAAATAGTATTAGACTTGGCTCATAGTGTGGTAATAGACCTGAGTTCATTGACACAAATGAGGGAGCAGTAACTTCTGGGACAGGTGGGTGTGGAGTGGGGATGAATGGTTAAGAGATGGGAGGAAGGAAGATAAAGGAAACTGAAGTCTCTGAAATAATACTGCTGCAAATTGACATACTCTTTCTAAATAATATTGCATAATTGGCATACTCTTTCTAAAACTGAAACTGTACAAACTTGATGTGCAGGCACTACCTGAGCAGTTGTGCAATTTTACAGTTGGTTAGGTTCTTGGTCTTCTCTTTTAGTGACTAGCTGGGGCCTTTGCCATAATAAGCTGCTTTTGTAGGGTCTGTATAAATACCACATTTGCGCTCTTCCAAAATCTATCTGTAACTTTTATTACTCTGCTTTAAAAACCTCTTTTCCTGTCAATTCCTTCTGCATTTTCCAAAAAATGTTTTAAATTTTGTGCACTTAACGTAAGATTCATTGCTAGAGTACCTCTGTAAGTGTTAAATGTACTAAATTGAGGAAATGCTTGTTCAATATATTAGAGCTTGTCTGCTAAGAAAATTAATCCAGAGCAAAATGAGGTGTGAATTTTGAAGTGAATGAAGAAATCCTGATTTAGCTCAGTATGTGGAGGCTTTTTTCCAAGTTAGCATAACCCCCTTTATGGTTCAAAATAGCTGCATGCTCAAAACCCAGAACATTGGCAAGAAGAGTTAATAAGGAGCAAGTCTTTGTGTCAGTGACTTTGTGCAGTGTTTTCTTGTGATGCAGTGAAAAGGGATTGATTTCAGGCAGCTAATCATTAAGGCAGACCTCAGGTCTAATCCCTCTTGCTAACTGTGGCAGCAATATCCAGGAGGAGGAAGAACTAAAATGAATGGACTTGGGGAGAGCTGGCAGACAGCTTCTTCAAGTCACCAACAGAGGAGACAACTTGGTATCCCATCTGTGTATTCATGGATGCTAACTAGGGCTCTTGTGGTATTTTTTTAAACAAAACTTAACCAGGTTTGAAGCATAGCGAAGAGAGGCTTCTCTTGCAAATAATAATATTTGTAATGCTTCCTTGTTCTTATTAAATACACCCACACAATGAGGAACAGTACTTAGTTAAAATTTTAACTGTTTTATGTAAATAAAACTTCCTTGCCTAAAAATATTTGGCTTAGGATCAGAGTGGAGTCCCTCATAACCTGCATCGCTGTGGGCTGTGCTTTCTTTTCAGTGATGAAAAATATATTACACTCTCCTAAAGTCAGAGTACACCAATGCCATTTCCTTTGTAGTCTTTGCTGGTCACATGGTCCTTTTTGTTTTAAATTAATAAAATCCTAAATCTGCATTCAAGAATAACAGTTAACATACTCTTTCAACAGAAATTCGGCTTTAAATTGCTTCCATATGGGATCTTTACTTAAGGCTCTGGCAGACTGTGCCCACACTTTGTTTTGTTTTGTTTTTACCGAGGTCCAGCTTCTGGGTTTGTCATTCCCCCAGATTTTAGAGTGCAGAGGTTTTTGCTGCCAGATATAACAAGCATGAAGGGCCATTGTTTAAAGAAACAAAAACTTGAACTATCCATCTAGGAAGAAAAAACATGTAGAGCTATTAACCCCCATCTTCCAACTGTCCTCAAGAGACAAGCATTTGACGCAGATTGGAGCATCAGTGTTGAATTAGTGACATTCTGAAGCAATGCTGAATGTACCTATCTCAATAAATTTACAATTCAAGGCAGCAAAGAATGCCAACCTTTGAATTAAAAAAAAAATCATATTGGACTTGAAAGTGATCTTCTGAATCAATTTTTGTCATTTGCCTATATAAAATAACTAGCATCACGTGCTATCACAGATTTGTCTGCAGCAACTGATTTATTTTGTAGTTTGCTCTAGGAGTGTTCTGTAGAGAAATGAAGTTTAGGATTTGGCTTTTAACAGACCTATTGTGTGTGGACAGATGTCTTATCAGAGATTGCAACATAATGGAAGTATGATTAACTGAGCTGGGACTTCCCTCATTTCTTACGCAAGCAGATGTTTGATCTCTGGTAAACTTCATAATATTTGAGTTCAGGTCAAAATGGTGAAAGGCTGTGCTAATTCAGTAGAATGTTCTGGGCCATCGGTTGCTTGAATGCAGCATTTGTGGCAACTTCAGTGGGACTTGCTTTCCAAGGAGAAAATGCTTAGGGCCCTGCCCAGAATAACTTTTTATTTTTCTTTCCTTGGATTGTCTGGCAAAAATCTCCTGTTGTTTATGACACACAGCTTTCATCTGTAGTTGTATATGGACAATGCAAATTAACCAAATGTAAATATAACAAATGCATCTATTGAACTTGTTAGCTCACTATTATAGTTTCCAATAGTTTGTCTTTCCTATTTTGCAATTTGAAAAATACAGATCAGTTTTGGTAACAAAGGTTGCTTTCAAATTGAATGATACACAAGGAGGAGTGAAACCTCAAACAAAATGTAAATTTTTTTTTCTATTTTAGCTTCATTACCTCCAGGAAGGGAAGAACATTATTCTGTTTTTCTATCTACAAATAGTCATGGGGTTTGCTGGATATTATAATCCTGTTCTGGAGCTGGAGTAGTCAGGTGGATGCACAGGTACTCTCAGTTAAGTGACCAGTGCTGTTTATGTGGTCTCAAAATTTCTGAATTCTAAAATGAAAAAAAAAAAATCCTATGCACTTCTGAAGGTACCGGCTTCTAGCAGAGTAAAATCTCAAGTAAAATGGCTGCCAGAGTAGTCTGCATAGGCATGCATAAAGGAACATGTGTGGATAACTTGCATCTGTCTCCTCTGCTGATCTACTGTGATCTCTTTGTCAGGCTTTAAAAGAAATCAATGAAGTTGGGGACCTTTTGCAACTGAAATATTCCCGTCGCCGTTTGGTACCGCTCTTGGACCGGCCGTTTGATGAGACCACATATGAAGAAACAGAAGACTGAGCTCCCTCCATGTGCCTCAGAGGGAGGGACACACCCCAGGGGACACTCCGTGGCACACAGGCCACAGCATCCGTGAACAACACACTTATGACTGTTTAGTATAAGAGACATTTCCTCACAATACTGAAGTGGCCACATCAGCTCTAAATGGCATTTTGTAAATAGGGAGAGGAGAAAAAAATTCTTTGATTTCTGTGTCTTCAGGGTCTGGCCCTAGAGGTGCTTGGCTTTATTTTTTTCTTGTTGCTTTTTTTTTTATTTATTTGTCTCAATGAGTTCACAGCAACCTAAGTTGGCTGTGGCTGATCAGTTCAGATTTTGTATGCACCATTAGCCTCCCAAATGCTGGCTGAGATGTTGTGAGCATGTGTGACGCTGGCATGGCAGCATTTTCAGTGTCACTGCTAGGTGTCTGATCTTCCCAATTAGGAATGAGCTGACCTGTCTGTTTCTGGAGACTTCCTAGAGAAACTGTTGATTGCTAACTTTGACATATTTAACAAGATGGATAATCAACCAAAGTTGTTTTTTTTTTTTTTCATTTGCAGTTACTTATGTTTAAAACTTGAATTTAGCCTTTTTAAAATAAATGTGTTGTTGACATGTCGCTGACAGGACCATTGTTCCCAAACATTATTTAGTTTTGTAAGCCATGGGCAGAAGGACTTCTGGAACTGTAGCCTCTTTTCCTTCCCAGAATGGATACCAGATTGTCTCCTGGTTTTGACACTAATTGTCCTTTTGATAGAGGGTAAGTGATGGAGAGGGGTTTGTTTTTAATACTTCTGTTAAAAAAAAAAAAAAGAAAAAATATGGGTTGTATATGTGTTGCTTTCTCATCTTCAGGTTAGTTTCTCTTGCTTTGGAATTATCATAAAGTCATGAAGTCACTAAGTCCTAGAAGGGAGCCTTTGGGTTTAAACAAACTAGAGCAAGTCTCATGGTTAGTCTTAAGACGAAGCCTCCTCAATAAGCAGGCCTATACAAGGAGTGATGATTAGGAGAACCATCTATTTCATGCAAATTGTGAAAGACTGCTGCCCTTTGCTATGCTAGCTCTCTGTTTCGTGTCATCTGTGAGGTGTTCTTCACTGGCCCTGTTAGGCATATGGATAGCTTGAATCTTGCAGTCATACATTACATTTTGGCTGGCCAGCATGTCCCCATTGGCAGCTGCTGCATATCTGTAGGTCTTCCCTGAAGAGAGAGAATGTCCTCACCATTGCATTTAGTTTGATATCTTTATTCTTTTGTACTTCTGTTACTTTCTGATCAACACTGCTCAAATGAGTGTTCTCTGAGCCAGTTGCTGTTTGGAGTCTTTATTTGCAAGTTTCATACTGTCCCTCTGTTTCAAATAGATGCCTTTGCTCTAACACACCTTAGAACTGGTCTGCTACTTAGTCTTTACATCTTGAATTCTTTCAGTGAACAGAATGGATCAACAAAAAGGTACCAAAAGTTTTAAATTAGTCAATTGCAGTATAGTTTGTTTCTGTATTTTATATTTAGACATACATGATTTCTGCAAATATAGTAAAATGTTAACATTGTGTCAGTTGGGTTGGGCCAGCTCTTCAGTTTGGGTTGGCAAAATACTTTTTGCAGGTTACTAGGGTTTTAGAAACAAACTGATCATCATAATACTAAAGCAGAGAGCAACTCAAAGCTCTTTGTGTGGTGCTGAAAAAAAAATTCTTTTAAAGTTCTTTAATGTTCACTCTGCAACTAACAGGGAGGGAGTGTTTTGGCCACTAGAACCAAGCAGTTCTGCAAATACATGTGGTGAGTTAAAGGAGAATTGGTTTCTATTTTATAGACTATCTAACTTTCATGCATTTATAGATCTTGTTACATTTTAATGTAATGGAACTTCAAAACACTGGTTTACCATTGAATTTCAGAAATTTCATTATATGAGAAGAACTGAAATTGACTGTTTGAAAATAGGTCCAGTTAACTGTTTCTAAGTCCATTAATGTTGGTTGGCTCTTCTTCTGGAGCTGAGTGAGTGCAGAATCTGAGAAGTCTGTATGTGCAGCTTGGATAGCTATGAAATAGTCTCATGTGTTCAGGCAGAGTTAATAAACAGCAGTTAGCTGAGCTTACTTTCTCACCCATGTTCTGCCCAGGACTAGCTCTAACATTCCAGCAGATTACCTGCTTTCTGACTTCAAGAAGCTTTACTTTTTTTTTTTTTTCTCTCTGGATTGTACTAGGGAACAAGAGGAGGTTAGTACAGGAAGCCCTGACATGAGCCCTGATCCTATTAACTTGATCATGAAATAGTCTAAGAGCAGACAAACTGATCAATTTAAAGGCTTGGATCAGTAGGTAGCTGGTTTTAAGCATTCACAAATGCACAGTGTGTTTGTCTGCTGCATAGCCAGCTCAGTTTAGAAACTGGGAAGTATTAGTTTAGAAGTGGGTTATCATAGATTCTACAAGTGTTGAATCTCAACCTTGTCTCTAGGAATCAGTTTTAGAGCAGCTTTTCTTTGGAAGGGAGAAAAGTATCTGGAAAAATATTCACAATATAGATAAATCCTGTGTAATACTTCTGAAATAGTGTTCAAAAATTACTAGTGTCCATTTGGTTTCTAGTTGCACTTGTTGAGGAAATTATGTTCAAGCTTCTGCCTTGTAGTATCTGTCTGCTGTGTCACACTGTCTGCATATAACTTTGAATTTTGAGTTGCAAAGGCACCTCAGAAATAATTCTGGCAGTTAGCATTTGCAAAGTACTTGGTTACATTTCAGTCTTGCCATATCCTTTTTGGAAAGCAAACCCCCCCACTCCTCTCTGAGGCATTTTGTTCAAGAGAAGCTGTTTTGCCAAAGTTTGGTAAAAACTATGAAACCTCTTGAAACTGCTTCTGAAAAAGTAAGAGTTAAGCCCAAGATTTCACACTTTTAATTCAGTAATTCACTGAGCTTGAAAGCCAAGAAAACCTTTTTGCATCTACTGAAAAAACTCCAGTAAGGGTTTGTGCTAGGCAAATCTACAGCATGTATGCTGTCACAGTATGTGTAGGATGGATTGCTGCTTTGATATTTATGTACTGACCAGAAATCTGTCTCCTTTTTCTCCTGGCAGTAGAAATGAATGAAAGAACCAATCTTGAGAGATCACAAAGGAGGAAAAGCTGCTTAAGAAATAAAACTTCAGTCCCTGCCAACTTTTCAGAGACATTCTAATTGAAAATGACTCCTGGTATTTCTTAAGAGATGCAAAATTGAAAAGAAAATGAAGGCTGCTTTTGAACAAAGGATTTTACTCAGTACTGTATATTGGCTAAACTTGCTCATAAATATACAATAGTTACCTTCCCAGTACCTCTCTGAAGAACTAAGCAAGCAAGTTTTTGCCTCTCTTGAGCAGAGTGAAGAGTTTAGAACCATTACTGTTTTTAAGGCTAATGGCTATATTCTTTCACTCGTAAGAAAATTGAGAAGCTCCTATTACCGAGCATCAGCAAAGAGTGGGAGATCTGCTTCTTGTTAGAAACTGGCTTTCCCAAGTAGATCTTTGTCTTAAGGAACCTCATTCATAGTTTTCCTTTAGTTCTTTGGCAGAAAAGAAACCTTTTTTTTTGTGTCAGAATATTCAGGGCCTTCACTTTTGTTTTTTACACGATGCAAATTTTTGTATAGTATGTATATGGTTTATTTAGCTCTCTAGTTGCTCTATCTTTTCCCTTCTAAGTAGCATCCTTAATGAACAGTTCTGGTTCTTGAGTTATGGGTGTAGCAGTATGCTTCTGCTTTAGGCAAAGACTCAGGAGCAAGCTGACCAAACATCTGAAGGGATTGCATTACCCACCCTCCTCTTGCTGTTTCCTCAAAGAGTGCAGATGTGATACTCACTATCAGAGCTGCACCTTCACAAAGAATAGGCAAGGGAAATGTGCCCATAAAATCAGCAATTCTGTGCTGTGTGGATGAAGGACTGATGCTGCAGAGATGAAGAAAAGGGGTAGTCAAATATTGCTTATTTTCAGCTGTACAGGGATCTTTCATGTGTACTTGAACAAGTATCCCTAAATCAGGAGTGCAGTTTTCAGTGCCTGAATGGACACTCCTCTAAAACGTTTCCACACCAAGTAAGTACTTCTTCTCCTTCTGTGCAAATTTTGATTTGTTTTCCTCTGAAAAACATTGACTTACAGCTGTTTGCTTGTTCAGAAGCCATGTTATCCATTCAGGGAGGTCATAGGAGAGGTTGGAAGAAAGCATGAACATGACTCTTCATTTCATCTAAGAGAAAACCTTGCAGCACTGGATCTGGAGCACTATGCATGAGCCCCCTTGCTGCATCACAGAGAAAGAAACTTGTGGAAATGTATCCCAATATCCAGTGCTCAGTCAGAATGTATGCAGTTTAAATATATTATTTTTACAGTTTATATTCAGCCTATGAAAGTGTCAAGCATGCTGGGATCTGTGTGGATGGCATCTTCTGCATGGAGATTTGAGGCACCTGCAGTCTGTTCTGTTTTAGCACTAGTGAAGTGCTGAGCTGTTCAGGAGTGCTTAGTATGACCCCTTGGCAGGTGCATTGGTGGCTTTGGTGCTGGACCTGACACCCAGGTGGCATTGGACCACTATTTGGGAAAAGCGAGTCATTTGACCTGCATAACCTGAACATGGTTTTAAAAGAAAAAAAAAATCTCCATTGCCATTCTGATGGCTTTGTATTCCTGTAAACATTCCCAGCCTTGCAGTTGTTCACCTGTTCAAGGATTCAGATGTAATACTAGAGCAAACATAACGTGTTTGTGTGAAGTATTGTGCTTTACCTTTCACTGAAAAGAGAAGCATTTTTTGCAGACATTGGAGCTGTTGTGCTTATATCCCCGAATGGGGCTGGGTGAAGCAGATGATGACTGTGGTGTGTGTTGAAGGCCTTAAACTGTGATTCTTGGTATGAAGAATTAAAATTAAGCCTGACCTTGAAGAATGCAGTGGATTTTACCCCACGGAAGAATACTTGGTGCTCTTAGTTAAGCAGTTTGCACTGCTGTTTTCTCGGGAGGGAGAGGTTTAAAACTCAGTTTGTGTGTGATCCTGGCTAGCAGCTGTTTAAGGGGATGTCTGTACATGGGAGCCAAAATAGTGCAGTTCTCTGCACCGATGTTCCTGTGCAGCTTACATAGTTCTGTGTACTCCCATCAGGAACTTGTTCCTGGGCTGCTCAAAGTGGGAGACTTACTGAGACAGTCAGGGACTTCAGAACCAGTGGCAGCTAGCAAATTCATTTCCTCAGCAGTAGGTGAACAGGTCTCATGTGAATATTCCAAGGCTTGGTGCCATTCCAAAAATACCCACAGTGAGGTGAAACATGCACCAAGCCATCTGACCTTTGTAAAGATTCTTTTTTATTTTTTTTGCCAAAGCTCATCCTATTCAGGCAGTATTTCTGCTACCCCCTAATGGTTTATTAAGCTTAATGCATCTCTAGCCTCCCAATCTTAACCTCAGACCCACTTGAGAGAGAACTGAGGAATGCTGGAGCCTGAGGCTTTAGGCAAGCAGCCCCAAAGCCAATGGTGGCCCACATTTCCACAAGCCCTGGGCAGAATTACCAAGTCACAGCACTTCATCTTAGATTGCACTGTATTCTTATGCCTCTGTGTTGCTATAATGTACATATATATTGGATTTTTTTGTAGATAAGACATTTTAGATAAAATTTTTAAATGGGCCCCCCAAAAAAATATTTTATGCCAGATGTCTAATTTTTTTTACACTTGTGATTAACATGAATATGGATGCTTTGTGGGCAGGGGAAAAAGATAAATGGATGGTACATTGGCTTTAAAAAGGTAACAATGCATGTTTAAAAAAAAAACACTGGAGAAAAAAATGCTTGGGGAAAAAATTCATTCAAATATATTCTGTTCTGCATAATAAAGACTTTAAAAAAACGCTATATCATGATTTTGGCACTTTTTTCCTTAATTAGGCTTTTCCCTATTAAGGAGACTGAACTCTCTTCTTTCCCAGTCCTTTTCCCACCCACCACCAAAATAAAAACCTCAAAAAAATTCAACACATGAGTTTTATACTGGAATGACTGGGTAACACCATCGCCTGTTTGAGAGCTCAGATCATTGTTCCCCTCTAGCCTTGTACTCTAGAGCCAGGAAACCTTGCATGAGAGATGGATGCTTATCTGGTTTTTGGCAGTCTCTGGTCCATCGTACAGCAGGAGCTTTGATGTGCAGTCTAGAAAAGCCGCTTCTGTTGTGGAAAGACGCCTGCAGTCGTAGCTGCTGTTCCTGATGTGCAGCACTCCCACGATGAGTGCCTGCTCTAGCTCAGTGCTGGCCCCAAAAAGCTGCTGTGCTTGAAAGCTAGGCTGCTACCCTTGGGTGCTGTTAAGAGTGTCAGGCTGCTCTCAGCTGCTGTGCTGCTAATGAGATGTTTGAAAGGGCTTCTTGATCCATCTCGCATGGGATTCTTGACCTCACATCTGTCTTGCAGTTTGTGTCTTGTTTTAAACATTTCCTTCCATTCATCTCAGCGCTAAGTCTGCATAAACCAGATGTCAGTATTTGAAGAGGAGGTGCAGGTCCTGATTTTAGCTGTGGGTACACAAATGGGCCCAGGTGATTTGCAGCTTTGTGCTAGGCTGCTGTAGAAATGTTGGGTTTTCCCCTCTAGGTCTCCCTTTCTGAGACCGTGCCAGCACTGGCACTTCTACTCAGTAAGCTGCAAAACTTCCTTTCGGTGTCATTCCCTAATAATTTTTTCATAGTCCTTTCCCTAATTTCCTTCATAGGCTTATGAACGCCTAT